ATCCAAGGACGATCGCTGTTAGATGGCACGATATCCATTACTACGTTTTCCAGACCTGCAAGGTCGCTGTTTCTTTAGAGCGCCGGTTGCGCAAGAAAGGCCTTGACGATGAAATCCACTCGTTAAGACAAGCGGTTCTCCCGCTGAAGATTCGGGATGCAAATTTCATCTCTCAAACATGTCACAGCAATGCATGCTAACTGATTTCAGATGCAAGAACATTCAATGACGCACATTAAAACTGGAGTAGATTTCGATTGTCCAGTTGCCTTTTGCACTCATCAGTTTAGCCAGCATTCTACACTTAGGTAATGGATTGACTTTATCTCTAGAGTTTGGGACCACTGGCAAGCGTTTCTCATTTTAAGATCTCATTTGGACGAAGCGCACAATGTCTGCGCTTCATCTCCAGCTTCCTGCAAACGGTGCTCTCTACTTTTTGCCAACTCGCGACGTTTACTTCTTCACTATCAAACAAGACATGACGACAGTGAGGTAATCGTTTCTGCTCGAAATATGTGACTTGCGTAAAATTTCATCTTATCTTACAGTGTGGCGGAGTTGTATCAAAAAAGGAAAATGACGCTTCGCTGAAGAAGAGACGGCCATTGTCGACATCTGCCTCCCCTTCACAGATTCGTGCTGCATGCAAAAAAGACTTTAGTCCACATCAAACGGATTCGTCCGAGATATCCTCTAGTCCAGATTGGGATCAGGTCCTGACTGTTGTAAATTGAATTTTGAGTATGGATGAGCTTAACAGTGAGGAAGGGAGAGGTTAGGGGTCACACAAATGAGAAAGCTAATTTCTCAGTAAGTCTGTACTAGAACTGCATATTTCCCGAAAAAATGCTAAACTAACAAAAACCAGATGCTCATACGAGAAATTGACAGCCACTTAGAACCTCCTCATAGCATTTTCAAGTTCTTGCCACTCGACATACACCTCTGGCTTGGGTATCCTTGGCTTCGACACTATCCGCGTAAACGACCGTTTCGCAACTGAAAGTGAAATGAAAACCAGCTTTACCTCCCACCTCACTTGCCATTAACCTCGGTCCAGATCAGAAAGTCATAATAAAGAACTTGGAGAAAACTGGGCTATAATTTGGGTAATACAGCTAAAGGGCAGTCAGGAAAATATTTGGAATTTATAGGGCTCTATTCCTATCCAGAGTATTTTTTATCATTCTCTCACCTTATCTCTGTATAAAAACCATTTTTTCGAATGACAATTTATTAAATTTTGTTAAGGTTTTAGGGTCGTTGTTCAAGCTGAATCAATTTAAAAATCTAAAAATAAAAATTCTTCCTGCACAGTAAAGCGATTCGTCATATCGCAGTATCGGATTTGTCCAAAAACACGTCGCTGTTATTCGGCTCAGTTTCGTAATTCGCAGTTACATGGATTATGATCATTACGGAAAATTGTGCGACTGTCGGGAAATAACAGGGATTCACGGTCCGGAAGTGCTATTTCCTTCAAACGACGCAAACAATAGCGAGCTTTAGTATTAACGAGTAATTCCATTTCAATTTGTGAGAGAGGGATAATTTTTTTCCGCTGTTTTTAGTCAAAACAAATTTATAATGTCGTTGTCATTATTGAAAACTTTACAGCAACCATCGTATCCAATGACAAGCGAGGATCTGCTAATCATGTGTCTCAATCCGGCACTTAAGCTACCTACGACATCTCAGACGGTTTGTCACTGGGAATTACAGCACAATTTCGTGGATAATGATAGCGTATCCTATGCTACAGACAAAATTCTCCATCGAGCAGACGATGCGGTTATGGGCTGCTGATCCTGCCGTACAATGTGAATCCCACTCACCGTCGGCTACAAGCGGTGGCAGCCATACAACAGACATTGAGAAGGTTAAGGAAACTTTGGTAAGTACAGGGTGTATCCCGTATATTGAAGAGTAAAAAACCAAAATCAACATCTGGTTATGCATGTTTGGAGATCATCTACCCAAGAATTTAAAGAAAAATGCTGTTTTCACTTCAAATGAAATCGTCTTAATAGTTCGAGATTGTGTTTTGATGCTTGCTTGTTAACCACTCACCAATCTTGCCGTCCTTGAACGTTGTTACAGCAGGATCGCATCGCAAATAAGCCGTGGTTGATTGAGATTACAAGAAAAAACACATGAAATCATTTAATTAAGGATTTCTAGGAGGCCACAGAAATGACATTCTATGTTACAAATTAATCTCGGCTGATTTTTAGTCTTTCCTCATTTTCTTTACAAATCTAAAGCTCTTACATTTATGTACACTTTTGCAATTAATTCAGTATAGGGTGCAGATAGGAGATTTAGGTTTATCAGAAGCTTTTTTTTAAAATCTGCTAATAGATGGCACTACAATTCTTTTTCCATTTAGTAGAGATAGAGTTTTCAAATTGTAAGAATTTGAGAAGTAATATTAAGCGAAAAGAAAAGTGTGGAGAACGTAAGCGTAAAACCTTTCTACTGAAAAATAGCCTATTCAACTTTTTATACTTTTCATATGTGCTTCATGTGAAATCACGAATGTCTACCTTTGACAATGGTGACCCATGATATTCTACTGCTGTATTAGCATGGATGTGAAAAAAGTTCTCTGTAGTCGCAATCACATCGAGAATCAAGCGAACCACC